CGGAGTTTTTTTGTATTTAAAAACTGGCCTAAATCGAAAATATTGATGACGTTCGTGAGGAAAATCTACACCGTAAACAAAACGAAATTCTGCTTCACGGCAGAAATAGGCAGGGTGGTGGTACCTACCCGCGCGGACTCACAACAGGTCCCCGAGTAATTACGCAAATTATAATTTTGCGGGTTTGATTTTTATTACACGATGTTATTCCTTCACCGTAGAAGTCAATCGTTAACATTTGTTGAGTACGTAACTCATTAGAAAAATTGGTACCCGCCTGGGATTCGAACACCGTAGCATCGCTCAACACGAATGCTCCGGGCGTCTTACCCCTTAAGCCACGACGACTTCAAATTGGAACTTCAAGAAAAAATAAAATTGGACTGTATCGAACTGTGTACAGAACCGCTTAGACGTTTCTCTAGCGCCACAAGGACATCTTGCAGATGAAATTAGCATTAAAGATGCGTTCGACTTTCTTGCGCAAATTGTCAGTTATACGCACACCAGTCGACAACGGGTCAGGGCCCCGAACGTGTGGGGGCTTAGATTTGGACATTTCCAACAGCCACTGACATTATTAAAATAAATTTTGCTGCATTAATCTTGCTAATACCAAAAACTTACCTTATTTATCTTTGTGTAGCGCAAAATGTTTTTATTATGATACTAGTATGATACTAGTTTTAGTATGATACCGACAGACTTGGTAGTGCCTCAATCAATAAATAAAAGACCTAAACTTTTGTATAAAATAAACTTAAAACAAAAGGTATCCGTCCAACGGGGGACACATCAAAGGAAAAATAAAAATTTTATTTTTATTTAATTCTGAGCATTTTCATATTTATCTACCTTTTAAACCTTCTCTGGACTTCCATAAATAATTCAAGACCAAAATTTGCCAAATCGATCCAGCCGTTCGCGAGTTTTTGCGTGACTAACGAACAGCAATTCATTTTTATATATATAGATTAATGACTGAAAATACATAATCGCTGGTCGCAGGGCTTGTTGTGAGCCTGCACTAATAGTTGTAACATCAGTTGTGCGTTCCGCCTTGAAGGGCGAGACGGTAGCCCTACAATAAAATTGATTCTTCGATCTCACGTCCTGTGATATGTGATGGCTCATGGTAAACATATCAGAGAGGCCTTATCTTCACATCTACTAAATAAAAACTGTTAATCACTGACTAACATTTATATAAAATCAATCTCGTTTTTACCATTGCATTACCTGCCACCGGAGTAGAGTTCATCCATACTATCTGGAGCCACTGCGTTCATCCACAGTGCGTTTCCAGAGATCTTTTTTGCCACGTACCATCCGACTATGGAATGAGCTCCACGGTGTTTTCCGAGCTATATGACATGTCCTTCGTAAAACGAGGTTTGTGGAGAGTATATAGCGGTAGGCGACGGCTTGGCTCTGCCCCTGGCATTGCTGACGTCCATTGGTGATGATAGCTACTCACCATCAGGTGTGCCGAATGCTCATCTGACTACGAGAGCAATAAAAAAAGCAAAAGCAATAGTTGGCAATAGTATCATTGTCCTTTTTTTGTTGAATAGTACGCTAAATGTCAACTAGTCTGTTTTTTTCGTTCAACTGTAAATAGAAAAACAAAATCTTGAATGAAAAACAACTTCGATAATTGGTCGAAAACTAATAAATACAGTCTGGCCATAAATACTGTAAAGAAAAGGAATTATATATATATTTTTCTTTTTATATCACAAGTTTTTGTTCAAGAATATTAAAATGGAATACGATGATTAAGCGAACTGAATTGCTATCATAGTGTTACACAAAATATTTGTAGAACCAAATGTAATTTTTGAAACACCATTCGCTTGGCTTTTAATCGAATGTTTATGTACCGATATGGTAGTGCAAGGTAGAGGGGGAAGGGGTCCACCAAAGAAGACATAGATGGAGTGTGTGAATGACGATATGAGTGAGAGAGGAGTGAGTGTTGAGATGACGGCTGATAGAAGAGAATGGAAGAGAAAAATTTGCTGTGCCGACCCCACCTAGTGGGATAAGTTGGAGAAAAAAAAGTTTACGTACCGATATATTAATAGGTATAATAAAACTTCCTTCCTAACTTCCTCCCTAAAACGACAGAAACGGATTCGGCAGTCGATCTAGTATCGTGCTAAAAGGACTATCAAATTAGTGGAGGAAAGAATCCGAAGAAGTCCGAAAGCGAAATATTTGATCTAAATAAATCAATAAAACACCTAGAACCGTGTTGCGTATTTTAAAAGATGATTTATAGCTTATAGCAAAAGCACTCATGATTACTTAACATATATTTGAATACTAATAGAGTAATAAAAATAATACCGTGAAGCGCCTGGCGAAAACATTTTTACGTTGAACAACATAAGCAGGTCAAGTTTTAAGCTCAAAGCTCTACAGAAACGTCTCAATTAGTAAATAGGGTACAAGGTGAGTATTATCTGTGAAGGTTTGGTGGGGTATTAACTATCAAGGTGTGACTTAGCCATATTTTTGTTAAAATTCTATCAAATCATCGACTCAGATAAATTTACGATTAAGGCCCTTAACAACGCCGTAACCAAACTCGCTTCAGCAAGATTCAACACCGGGTAACGAAGCTCGATCCATTCAAAAGATACTGAAAAATAACGATTCTGACCATATCAGAGCTGAAGACTGTCCAAATCTTAATCCACTTAATAATGGTTTATAGTATGTAGAGGCTCTATATGCAATTATTATTTGAAATTCAAAAAAGAAAGAAAGTCCATATTTCTATCGGTAACTGGCCAAATCGATTGTAAAATATTCAGACCAAAGCAGATAATTTTGTATGAGCTTCAAATTCTAAAATGCTATGATATTGATGTATAAACGAACGAACAGTAATAAATGTAATAGAAAAAAAAATGTTTTCCTTATAACAATGTTTAAAGTAAGACCGTGTATAGTGTTGTGTACTCAAGTGTGCAACGCAGATGCTGTTTAAATTTAGTTGTTTTTTTTAAGTTCGATGTGCACATGTCTGACTCCGGACAAAAGCGACGTCTGCTAAAGTCTCCCTTCAAATTGTTTTAATTGAAAATGCTTGGTTGATGATTCTGTGACAAGCGGCTAGTGGCTTAGCTTTGAACGAAGGCGACTACGCAATGTAGCCCACTGAGTTTCTCACCGGGTCTTTTCAGTGGGTCGCGTTTCCGATCCGGTGGTAGATTCTGCGAGGCACGGCTGTTGCTAGGGTTCGTGTTAGTAACGTCGTCAGGTTTGAGCCCCGTGAGCTCACCTACTAGTTAAGGTTCCGCTGATATAGCCTCTCAAGGGTATCAGCTTAGGTAGGAAAAAATAAAAACTACTCAACGTGAAACGGGCCATATACTTATCTCTCTACGAACCTAAAAAAGTATTATACATGTGTAGTAAACATTTTAATAATCTTTTAAATATCATCATACTTGTTTAATGTCGAGATATTGATTCTAATGCCATTGATAGAACGAGACGTATGTATTTGTCAAGAAAAAACTGGCGAAAAACTTGCCTTTATTATTTTTTTATCTGGATTTATTTTTATTTCGAAGGCATTGCTTGATCCCGTGGTCAAAGAAAACTAGACTTTTTCCAAAAATTCGTACGTTGTTCCCCCAATTTTTTGGTAATACTTATACTACTTATATCCGTCTTGAAGTCATGAAAGTGCACCGGCTGGGAAAGCTGTTACTCTTATGTAACTTTCATCCCAAAGTGGCACTAAGGCGGTTTGTAGACGATTAGACAATTCGCGTCTACTTCGTATTTACGATTTCCTTGAAAAGACATACTAACTCTTACTGGTGGTAGGACCTCTTGTGAGTCCGCGCGGTTGGGTCCCACCACCCTGCATATTTCTGCCGTGAAGCAGTAATGCGTTTCAGTTTAAAGGGTGGGGCAGCCGTTGTTACTAAACATGATACCTTAGAACTTATATCTCAAGGTGGGTAGCGCATTTAAGTTGTAGATGTCTATGGGCTCCAGTAACCACTTAACACCAGGTGGGCTGTGAGCTCGTCCAACCATCTAAGCAATAAAAAAAAGGCCGTTTGTAGACGCTTAGACAATACTCGTCGTATTTGAGATTTCCTTGAAAAAGCACGCTAATTCACACGCCCCGAGTCAAATCTGTGGTCATGGACGCGAATATACATTGCGATCAAACCATGTTACAGCCGAACGATTCGTTTCCTAATCGCGCAGCAACACAAGGCTCTAAACATTATAAAATCCGTCGGTTCATTACGTAACTCTTATAAATAACCAACTCCCCGAGTCCTTATCGGAAATTGCATTTCGTGTGAACGTAAAATTCGATCGTTAATAATGATTTATTATATTAGCATGTTTACAAATGTGCAAATGTGGTCGGGTGGAAAAAATGTTGTATCTTGTTGATTTTTGGGCCTTCGTTTGGAAACAGCGGTAAGTTTGGTTGGCAACGATAAATAGATAGTGTTTTCCTGACTTTCACTGTTCAGTTATGCATTTCTTATTTCAAAATTTCCACACTTACTTTCGGACTTCACAGGTTTCGCAGTCACGGATGACTAAGATGTAATGTTAGGCGTTGAAATTTGAATATTGTCGTTATTAATAACATTTCTTTACACGTTGAAAGGACTTAAATTTAGACGCCTGCCAATTTCACTTTAATTTTCATCTTCAATAGAGTTGGGATTCATTTTGATTAAGCTCGAATCGTCTTCTTCTATGAAGTTTGGATATGTTATAAACGAAATGGCCTTGCATACTGTAAATATCAAGTGCCCATAAGAACGGTGAAAGGAATTATGGTTGAGAAACATTGAGTAAGAACTACTACCGCATGGTGTGAAACAGAACGGACTTTTTTTTAATTAACAACTATGCTCTGATCGCGGCGATGTCTATAGGCTCAATTCAAATCAGGAACAACAGTGTGGCATACAAGAGCTATACTTAATTCATGAATTTCTTTACAGAAGCGGTCCCCACGACGAGGGACCGATGAGGTTGTCGACAGTGGAGCCTCTACAACTAGGTCCTCCGCCGAGAACCTGCTACCCTTTAGTGGTAATCTTGGCGAGGGACCTTAAGGACATTGGAGAGCTGAGGCCCGACGACACGGTGAGAATGGCAATCCCTAGAAATATCCTAATTTATAATAATTTTCTTCTGATGAACAAAGCAGATGATGTTATACGAAATAGATTGACATTGATAGAGAGATATTTCTCAACGCATCTTTCTCCGTTATAACTTAATATTTATAATCGTTACATTATTTTGGTAATGTAAGACGATGCACAATTTAACAGACTTTCATAATCAGCAATTAACACAAACGCACGTCATAAATTTTACACGTCCACAAGAAAATTCAACAGTAGGGTACGTAGGTAGGTGGCGCATTTACGTTGTGGATGTCTATGGGCCCCAGTAACCACTTAACACCAGGTGGGCTGTGAGCTCGTCCACCCATCTAAGCAATAAAAAAATTATAAAAAAAAACGTACTCGTAATAATACTGCTAGGTAGATTACTGAAATAAATTCCTATGAGTGTTACAGCGATAAACTTTTATTAACCGCTGACTAACGTCTGACGAAGGCTAAACTCTATCTACGCCACTAAAGAAACATAATATATCTAATATGTAGACTTGTATTGTTGGAGATGCCTTAGTTCATAGTTCACCGCTAAAACTCTATCTACGCCGTTAAAGAAGCATAAAATATGTAATATGTAGACATCTATTGTTGGAGATGCCTTAGTTCACCGCAAAAATCAATTAAAATTCAAGGTCCTCGCAGACAATACGAAGGGAGCAACGATTAAGTTAAAATGACGTGGTGACATTGTTCAGGTGGCGCTAGTAAGCGTGGTTCACATACGAGACGAACAGTGTCCGCTGCCGAGCGCCGTCATCGCTCAGTACCTCAAGCAGGCGAATGGTCATCTCTCGTGTTTGAAGGTCAGTAATATACGTGTAACTATACTTGAGACCTTAGAACTTATATCTCAAGGTGGGTGGCGCATTTACGTTGTAGATGTCTATGGGCTCCGGTAACCACTTAACATCAGGTGGGCTGTGAGCTCGTTCACCCATCTAAGCATTAAAGAAATATACGAGTTTGGCGGTCTCAGAAAAAGCATGATCACGACAGCCGAGCGGGTATTAGGGGCTTAGGGAAGTGTCCGGAATTGTTATCATCGGTCTTTAAGGGTTAGTGTAGACTTTAAAGGCATATTGTGAATGACAGAGATTGGGATTGATATTGTGGTGTTTCGTTTGGCGTTCTTTATTGGGGTCAGATTCGTCTGCCCGGTTATGCCGATATCAAAGGTAAAGCAATCGAGCCTGTAAAGCTGGAAACCAGGTGAGATATATTAATTAGAAAAGATATCATTTCGGATCTGAATTTCAACTCGTATAGCGAATGTTTGCCATAAGGAAAATTAGTAATGTTTTGGAGAGTCATTTGGGAGGAAATAATTTTCCCTAATGTTATCCTTGGTTAGTTTCAAATGTTCAAAAAGAAAACTGAATTGTTTTTGATGTCGATTGAAATTTTCTACATATTTTATTTTTGTAAGATTACGGATATCAACTCGTTATGTACTCGTGGCCCGCTCTGGCTTCGCCCGTGTAATATTGAATATTATGCTTAAAGTAGATTACAGTAGTTTTATATGTATTATTTGTAATATTTTTTTCTAAACATTTTATAAGAAGCTTTAATGTTATTATATTTTTCAAAAGTGACTTTGAACTCCTAATTCAATTCATTTATATATGTACATCTATTTATAGCCATAATTCTTACGTTGTTGATTTATATGGGCTCCGGTAACCACTTAACACCAGATAGATCGTGGGCTAGTTCAACCGTAACCCGTATTAGTCCAAGCAAAAAAAAGAATTCTTTAGCAGACCGCTTAAAACATAAAAAACATCAATTGCCTTAGTTTCTAGCTTGTGTTCCAGCAGTTTAGGGCTTGCACCGATGAATCACTCGCTCAGCATAAATAATAATAGATGTGTGGATCGAATTAAAAGCAGAATGTAATCTCATTAAAATTTATTATACTATGTATTCGTTTTAAACGATTTACTCGCGTTCTGAAGTCGGTACTTGAAAAATATTATTTTTGCATTTGTAATTCCATCACCATAGTCGGTTGCTCTTGGCAGAGCAGTCGTGGTCATGTGGAATTCTTGCTTGTTAAATAAATTAAATACAAATAATAATAATCATAAATTTAATACAAATGCTTTTTAATGCATGCATTTAATAAGCATTTGTATTCCGCATACTGTTCAATTGGACACGTAGCTATCTATACCTGATGCTCCATGATAATCTAATCGATTTATTTTACGTGAGCACTCTTTCAAGGTCACCGTCCTCGTCGAACTCGTCTATTGCGTCGAAGAGTTCGACGTGCAACCTAGCCCAAAGACACGGCCCACTGAGTTTCTCACTGAATCTTCTTATTGGGTCGGGATTCCTTTCCGGTGGTAGATTCAGCGAATCACTGCTCTTGCTAGGGCCAGCGTTAGCAACTTCAAATTAGGAAGAGATTTCTTAAAGAAATAAGCAGTGCCTTTGTACATAAATATCCTATTACTCTGAACTATGTCTTCTTTTTTGTGTGTATATAAATAAATAAATAAACGTCAAGGTGACACTACAGAACTCGCATACGCTCTGTCATGACCTATGCAAGAGTGGCGCATTTACATTGTAGATGTCTATGGGCTCCAGTGACCACTTAACATCAGGTGGGCTGAATAATAATAATAATAAGTGTTCGCTCAACTTAAAACCCCTTCAAATTATTCAATCCCGTTTTTAGCGTTAGCAAATTCCTTTCAAGTTGAGCCCGTGAACTTTCCTACCGGCCTGCGCTTTGTTGGAATCGCCCCCCCTTAGACTACCGACTTGTACGTAGGGTAAAGAAAGGTATGATAAGTCTCCGCGATTATGATTTTAGCAACTGTACGTGACGGGCGAGTGTGGTGAGGAGACCGAGGGCTACACGGAGGGCTCTGAGCACGGAGACGTGGCTCTGTGCTGCGTGTGCGCCGCCCAGCCTCTCTCCAGAGCGCTACTGCCGTGCAGACACGCCTGTCTCTGCGCAAGATGTCTTCGTGAGTACCTCGATCATTCCAGTGCTTATACATATAAACACTCAATTTATATATATAATTTTTTTTATTGCTTCGTTGGGTGGACGAGCTTACAACCCACCTGGTGTTAAGTGGTTACTGGAGTTCATAGAAATCTACAACGTTAATGCGCCACAAACCTTGAGATTTAAGTTCTAAGGTCTCAGTATAGTTAAAACGGCTGCCCCACCCTTCAAACCGAAACGCATTACTGCTTCACGGCAGAACTAGGCGGGGCGGTGCTACCTACCCGTGCGTACTCACAAGAAGTCCTACCACCAGTAATTACGCAAATTATAATTTTGCGGGTTTGATTCTTTTTACACGGTGTAATTCCTTCACTAGTCAATCGTGAACATTTGTTAAGTACGTATGTCAAATACGATACCATCATCTCGTTTTTACCATCGCACCGCCCGCCAACGGAGTAGAGTTCATCCATACTATCTGGAGCCACTGCGGTCATCCACAGTGTGTTTCCAGAGATCTTTTTTGCCACGTACCATCCGGCTTTGGAATGAGCTCCCTTCCACGGTGTTTCCCGAGCGCTATGACATATCCTTCTTCAAACGAGGCTTATGGAGAGTATTTAACGGTAGGCAGCGGCTTGACTCTGCCCCTGGCATTACTGAAGTCCATGGGCGACGGTAACCACTCACCATCAGGTGGGCCGTATGCTCGACTGATTACAAGGGCAATAAAAAAAATTGGGGTTTAAAAAAAAATATTCGACCCAAAACAGTTTGAGAACCTCTGGTATATAGAATGGGTATGTATAGTTTATAGATGATTCAGTGAATAATATCTCCGAGACGTAAAATATTTTATTACCTTTATAGATAGACAAGCGCGCGGCCCGCTTCCTGGTAAGTGGTCACCGTCGCTCATGGACATCAGCAATTCCGGGAGCACAATGAATCCGCAAACAAGCAATTGCCTTTGTACTTAATTCTTCTCATCACTATTGTAGAAATCGTTATATTTTTCTGTGGCTTCATAAATAAATAATGATTCACGCTAAAATTTTAGCGTTCGTTTGCGTGTGTGAAATAAAAGATATTGAATAATTAAATAAATAAAATTACATAACTTGTTATTTGTTCTTATGCTAGCGGAGCGTCGAATGATCTGCTCACTGAATTTTTAAACTTTAATTGAATTCCATTCTATTTTGTTTCAACTTTTAAAAAAAAAATAGTTTAAAAAAACGAACAAAATACGCTTTTACAGAAAATTCAACTAAAAAATAGAAAATAAATTTTAATAAATTTGAATTAATTAGAAAAAATGATTTTATTGTAAAAAGCGTGGGGTGCTTTTCAAGATATTATCAAAATAAACCCTTCTACTCATATTCTACGCAAATTTATTTTAAATTTTTTAGTTGGTTTTCCTATAAAAGCGTATTTTGTTAGTTTTTTTTTTAAACTATCATTTATTTTTCATTTTTTATTTGAATTTAAATTTTTTAAATTTTTTTTTAAATATTGTATTGTCATCGGTCCTTAATAAGTATACTTAATTTCGAGTTAATCCGACGTTTTGAAGGGGGTCAAAATCATGTTCAAAGATACCGTTACAAACATACATACATACGTCTGAAGCTAATAAAAGCGTATCAAAAATGCCCTCGAAACGTTCATTAATGGTCTCATTAAATTTTACAATCGATCAATAGATACAATAATTCGTTTCTATTTAAGAGATTAAAAACCTATAATGCATTCAATGGGCGAACGAATGGCACGGGTCAGCGGAGAATCCGTGTCCGAGAACCAATCAATTTTAGGCTTGCGTCGCACTGTAATGCTATGCTATGACAAAACGTTTAAATCAAAATTATTGTCTTCATTGAAATGCGTTTTTTTTTATTGCTTACATGGGTGGATGAGCTCACAGCCCACCTGGTGTTAAGTGGTTACTGGAGCCCATAGATATCTACAACGTAGATGCGCCACCCACCTTGAGATATAAGTTCTAAGGGTCTCAGTATAGTTACAACGGCTGCCCTACTCTTCAAACCGAAACGCATCACTGCTTCACGGCAGAAATAGGCAGGGTGGTGGTACCTATCCGCGCGGACCACTGACGTCGTAAATTAACCCACAGACACAGCCCACTGAGTTTCTCGCCGGATCTTCTCAGTGGGTCGCGTTTCTGATTCGGTGGTAGATTCTGCGAAGCACGGCTCTTGCTAGGGTTCGTGTTAGCAACGTCGTCAGGTTTGAGCCCCGTGAGCTCACCTACTAGTTAAGGTTACGCTAAAATAGCCTATCAAGGCTATCAGCATAGATAGGACAAAAAAACAAAATCAAAGTCATAGTCAAGTCGCATCTTCGACTACAGAACCGCCCTAAAATGATTACAATTCATAACGGTTAAGGCGGCGTTTTGAACCGAACCTTGGGATCGACCTCAGTTATCGATCGTGATGCGCCTCGGTAATCAGCTAATAAAACGGCTGACATAATAGGAAAACGATTTTGAGAACATCTCAAGGAAACTGCTCATAGTTCAGGCCTATCTATCAGTTTGAATAATGGCATCCACGGTGCCTCTTCAAAGATAAACGTATTCCCGGGGAATGGACTCTCCATCTTTATTGCCGAATACATCGTTCTATTGAAAACTCTAAGAACAGAGACTGACAGAGAGAGAGAACAGAGAGAAACAGGGTTTTTACTATTATCCTAGTCGTACACTCTTGCAGAGTGATCGTGGTCATGCATCAGTCGGATCCTACGATACCGATGCTCTCGCGATGCGACGCCATGTGGCATGGTGTTTCGCAAAGTGAGAGCAATCATTTATGTTGCAGTGAGTCACAGATTTTATGAAGTCGGTCCATCGTGTTGGAGATCGTCTCGCGCCAGAAAAAAGGCTTTTTCTGTATTCTAAGTGAAAACTATATCTTAAATTGTTAAAGTTTGGCTGGTGGGATTGCGCCCTACTTAAACTCTTGATTTGGAAATTGCGATAAGCTTACACGGATAGTTGCTTCGGAAATCTAATTAGGTTATTCCACAGGTGATTTACGGGATGTGTTGGTTAGGATAGTCGTTGCAAAATACAATTGTATTTAACAAATGCGTACTTAAAAAATGATTGACTTCCACAGTGAAGGGATATCATTATGTAATAAAAATCAAACGCGCAAAATTATAATTTGCATAATTACTAGTGGTAGGACCTCTTGTGAGTCCGTGCGGGTAGGTACCACCACCCTGCCTATTTCTGCCGTGAAGCAGTAATGCGTTTCGGTTTGAAGGGTGGAGCAGCCGTTGTAACTATACTAAGACCTTAGAACTAATATCTCAAGGTAGGTGACTGTATTTACGTTGTAGATGTCCGTGATCTCCTCCACCAAAGCAGTAAATTATAAAAGAATATGAGAATACCATCTTAAGGTGGATTTGTACACGCTTATGGGCCTTGATAACCCCTATACTAGGTGGATCGTGAACACACAGAATGTGGCCTGATATGTTAATCTCCACTCAAAACATTTGAGACTTTGGTCCTTTTTATTTCGAAAAGAAACCGAGAAACGACATCTCTTCCTTGGAATAGAACGGGGAACCAGAACAAGGGGACCTATCACCCAGAGGATATTATTCTATGCTTTGTTTAATTTTTAATTCCAGCAAAACTGGACAAGTGCCCGATCTGTCGTAGCGCGATCACCAGCTATTTCTGCATAAGAAACGAAGAGGAACCTCTCTCGGAACTGAAGCAGCAGCAGCGTTTCCCTTTCAATAGGAGGCTCTTCAATCTGTTCCATTACCACTAGACTGAGGCTACTAGGATAACGAGGTGAGTGTTTGAGGAGTAGCTAGGTAGATTATCCCATAGACACAGCCCACTGAGGTTCTCGCCGGATCTTCTCAGCGGGTCGCGTTTCCGATCCGGTGGTAGATTCTGCGAAGCACTGCTCTTACTAGGGCCAGTGTTAGCAACACTCCCGGTTTTAGCCCCGTGAGCTCACCTCCTAGTTAAGGTTACGCTGAAATAGCCTCTCAAGGCTATTAGGTTAGGTAGGGAAAAAAGGTAGATTATGGACTAAAAGTGAATGCTCTCTTCATCGTATGAAGTCTGGAAGAATGAGCTGTGATTTGGCCACGAATGGTGGGGTTTTTGGAGAGCCGTATCTGTATCTCTGCTTCTATCCGGTAGCGACGACGGTAGATATATTCAATCTCCTTGGCTCATTTAATGTGAAAAGTCGAGACCTACAGGATATAACGTCCGGAGGAGTATTGAACTATGCGACATGTCTGTCAAATGAGTTGAAACCTAATCCCCCATAATATCGGCCCGCTGAGTATCACGCCGGATCTACTCAGCGGATTTCGATAACAGCTGCCCTTGAACTGACCTTCGAAGGCGCTCGGGCAGCTGTTAGTCAATCCAACTACTCCTGGCTGAGCCCGAGCTCACCTACGTGTCCTGGTGAAACTGAAAAAAAATGAATGAGAACCGATTTTAATTAAATTTTCAAGGGAGAATCTGGTAAAGTGCATCGTTTAAAATTTTTAAATCGAGGGGTGAAAAGCTATTTGGTTTAAGCGAAATTTCGCTTAATACGCGACATTAATTTTTGTAATTAAAGGTGCGTTTTATTTATTATTAGCAGCATCAACAGCTCGATGTTTTTAATTGAACTTCAATTAAGTTTACTCCACTCACGTAGCTGAAGAAGTATTTTGTTATAAAAAAAAATCCAAATTTTAAACTCTAAATGGGTCTCATGTAAGTTGCAAATTGTCGCTTAAACCAGGTAGCTTTTCACCCCTCAAAATATAAACCATATCGATTTGATAACCTCTTCATTTTTGTCTCTATGTCTGGTCAAAAAATTACAACTACCCTTCGAATCGAAAAACCCTTGATGCTCAAACACACAAACCTACAACACGAATTAACATATAAATATTCGGTGTTAATTGTGTCGGCGTTGAAATTTAAAAAAAATACCATTTCTCATTTTCAGTGAGGGCGAAAAGGAACGAAGATAGTCGACTTAAACGTCTTTGATGTTAGAAGAGNCTCTATGTCTGGTCAAAAAATTACAACTACCCTTCGAATCGAAAAACCCTTGATGCTCAAACACACAAACCTACAACACGAATTAACATATAAATATTCGGTGTTAATTGTGTCGGCGTTGAAATTTAAAAAAAATACCATTTCTCATTTTCAGTGAGGGCGAAAAGGAACGAAGATAGTCGACTTAAACGTCTTTGATGTTAGAAGAGCGCTGTGTGAATATTGAATAAATAGCAAAACGAGTGTTGGAACAAAAAAAAAATGTTCAAGTGATTTTTGTGAATAAAAGACATTACTATTTAATACGTATAATGTCTGTCGGCTGCGACCGCGAGCGTCACATACCCTCCCGACTACTTGTGTTAGGAACTCGCGAGGTCGTCGACCCGGTGCGTCGATGGAATTTCAGACGAGTTCCATTGCGTGCAGTTAAAAAAAAAACTCCATTTTTTAATTTGTCGATATTTTTAGTGTCATCGTCTTCAGAAACTCGTCATGTCCCACATACGGTGCTATAAAGTCACTTATGCAATTTTTTTTGTAACACTGAACTGAGTATGAGAAAATAATTTTTTTAGTTATTAGTAATTATAGTGAGAAGAGAGAAATTTTTGCTTTTACTGATGAAGTTTTTAGTTTAAATATTATCATTTTATTTCTACAGTCTAACAGAACTATGTAACGACGCTTGAAAGGCAAACGTGACTAAGCGACAATAACTGCTTTGTACATAAATGTTAGGCAATAACCATATTCAATACGCAAAAAAATATATATTTCTAGGTCTATTAAAATCATTTCCATCCTACAGCTAGATTCGTTAAAATAGATTTTTTTCAGGTATTTCTCAGGTATATTTTTAATTAATTTCAACTTTAAATGAGTCTACTGTAAATTTCACGAATTGTCGCTTAGTCACTTTTGCCTTTCAAGCGTCGAATTAAGAATTATATAATAAGATGTTGAATTTTCCAACGTTACTCCTGAAAAATTGCATAATTTGCATAAGTGACGTTATCGCACCGTATATGCGGTACGTCTTCATCTTCAGAAGCGGTCACCTTTTACAGACGCAGGATCCAGTAGAGGTTGAACCTTGTAGTGATATGAGTCGACTATTATCAAAGCCGGCAATGTGACTTTTGGACAATGATTGGTAAATCAGAAAAACGAATTATTGACTTTGTATTAAATTGGCAGTCACAAAACTCTTCTGAACGACATCTTAGATAAATAACAGGTTAAGTATTAACCTTTATTTAATGCAGGTTTTGAACCGTATTCTTTGAAGGAGACGATTATATTCAAATCAATCTGTATTGACATATCAATAACATTTTTTTGTCCAAATGCACAGATTTCCACCTTTGATAATAGACGACTCATATATGAGTCGAAATAAACAAGACCTTTGACCTGTGTGCTTAGTGGGAGTTTTTTAACGTTCTCGATAGCGTAAGAGTTAACTCAAATTTGTATATGTCTCAAAGCCAGCAGCGTCATTCACGTTGACGTGTGCACGGAGTTCGCTAACCGCTTATCACGCAGACCGTGATAACGTTCGTAAATCTAAGAAAAACACATTTGAAACAATTACTAGATCTAATGTGTCGCATCCGACCTTTTGGTTGTAACGATGACAAAATTTACGCCCACGTCATTTTTGTAGGGTAGGAGGTAATCGGTCGTGTTGGCATGGAGAAAAGTCAATTAAAGTCAACTTGTTATTTTAAGTAAGCTTATCCAGTAAAGCAAAGACAATCCTAAAGAGATGGAGGCGATTTCGACCATCGATAATATATTGAATGGCAAACTAACCGGCCGGCAATGGACAGCAAACATGGAAACCATTAATCGCGTTCCGGTTTCAAGGTCGACTCGACAGTTTAAAATGAATAAAAGCAATTATTTCACGACAGTAATAATTGAAGATATGAGTGGATTAAGGGGTTAAGTATCATTTTTAAGATTTTTTAGTTTTTATATTGAATGAAGGTGTTATGTGCTTATAAACCATATTAGACCTTAAAACTCCGGGTTTAAAGGCTAAATTGCATGCGATGAAGGAGTTGTTAACGAAGAAAAAGTACAAGTCACAAAAGTTTTTCACAAAATTAACAAATTGTATCATATCACCTTCATCCCACTCATGTCTTTAATTTACCTGTGTGACTGCATTTTTTTTTAATTTCTCATAAAGCATTCTGAGGCCTAATTGTTACTATTATTTGTGTAGTTTAAAAATAGGGAACCGCACCACACTTGGGTTTTTAATTTGTCGCGTAAACCACAAAACTCGACGGAACGATATTTGCGCGTGACGTCATTTGTGGCCAAATCGCTACATTCTATAGCACTAAAACTATAGACGACGATTAGCCGCGTATGTATCGTCGCTTAGCTAAAAATGCGACATAATTAAAACTACTTTTACGGTTAAGCACTAGAGCGCGTCGATAGATCGACTCTCTAATAACACGTACAAACTGCGAAGCGTCGGAATACCGACTATTGCGCAGTTTGATTATAGATCTGTATTAGGTATCGACCTGTACGGACGTGTCTTAGCGCGTGCATGTCTAACGTTATTAATAAATTAATAAAATTTATAAATTACCGTTTAAAATTGCTGTTTATAAAATACATTTTTTTTTAATTCCTTTAGCAATTTCTTACTATACTAAAATATATGAAAATAAACTCAGCACTAAAAGGGTTAATGTCTTGATATATATTTTTTTATAGAAAAAAACAGACGGTAGTTAGAACAAAACTGTAATATCGCGACGAAGAAACACCTGAAAACTATACAGTATTCAATATTCAACATTAATCGCGATATTAAACCTTAAAAGTACTTTTAATTACGTCCACAATTCGCAAAAACCGAAGGATAACATATAGACCATCAAGTTAACTATTGACATTGAAGATTCTTTATCAGCACATCAAGAAACTATTTGCGTTAGCTGAGCGATACTACATCGCGCGTTCTTATCGACATTTGGCTCGACGTGAAGGAAATTCTAAATAAAATCCTAGTACATACATACATTTAATTTTATCACAAATTACACACGAGGGGCAGTAATCGTATAATAAACATTGAGCTAAAATTCCTGGCGACTAATTTTTAGTTCGTTTTTAGTGACCGACCGTCTTGTCCGGTTGCCGATTATTTAATTGTAGTTGATAAATTAGCGAATATACATGTAGTTCTTCGTTTACGGACCCTAATGTAATGTAGTTTTCGGTTCATTATCGTGTGATACGCGATGCGAGACCCGAACTGTATATAAGAGATGACTACACGTGACAGAAGTGAAACTTCTTTGAGCCGCCACGTGAGAGGGAGAGAGCTGTTTTCCGTCCCTTACGCGACAGAAGTTCGCCATCGTGATTTTTACCCCCTCACGTTCTCGCCCAAAGAAGCTTCACTGCGAAACAAAAATAAAATGTGTGGGTGCAAATAATAATTATGATATGAGACTGTGATAAATGTGAAGCTTTGTAAATACGCCAGTTAATGTAAATGGATATAAAATATATAGTATTAATATTAATAGTTTTATTTATTTTCATTAAAGATGTTTAACAGATCCTTATGCTAGAAATTTCTCTTGAGGGTAGGAACCACCATCTTGCCAATTTTTGCCACGAAGGAGGTCATACGTTTTGGTTTGAAGAGTAAGATCGCCTTGTTAAAGTGGATGGAGGCATTCCCGTTTATGATCTCCGCTAACCACTTGGCACCAAGTGGCCTTAAGCTCATGTACCTATCTTAATAAGAAATAATTATATTTCTTGCTTCACTCCGACATAAACAAGTAAACCGTTCCAGTATTGTGTTACGCTTTTACTTTACCCCGCAATCTAATGCAAAGTTAAATGCCCCAAGACGCTTAACTGTACAGACTCCAAGCGTCAGCTGTTTTTTAATCGATTTACATTGCGTGGATACCAAGCAAAACAAAATTATTCAACCATTATGGAACCACCAGTGATGGAACACTGAATGATGATATGGATCGCTTTATTCACAATTCCCTTAAATACGATAGTGGGTTATTAAATTTAAGCAAAATTGGGAATTTATTATGTTATGTGTATACCAATTATTTGTTTATTAATATACTCAAAGTATAGGAAAAACCAGTAATGAACCAATTTAACGATTTCGTTATTCGGCTTCTAGGTACCTACACGGTATTGAATCGCTATTATAATATTATTATTATTATTATTTATTGCTTACATGTTTGGACAAGCTCACAGCCCACCTAGTGTTAAGTGGTTACTAGAGCCCATAGACATCTACAACGTAAATATGCCACCCACCTTGAGATATATGTTCTAAGGTCTCAGTATAGATACAACGGCTGCCCCATCCTTCAAACCGAAACGCATTACTGCTTCCCTTCATTTGATCCCCTCCCCCCGTCCTTATCACAGGTTGTCACATTTTTATAATCCCCCCCCCCCTGGTGTGGCGTCACACATTGTTTCAATTTATGCTTATAAGTTAAATTTTAAGTTAAATGACGTTTGCATGAGAGATAATCTCATAGCGAGAATGCTAAATTATTAATAACTATAGTTCAAGTTCGTAGATTTTTAGTTTTTTATTCACATCTAAACATCGCGTTTTAATATTTTAAATTTTAACATGTGACGTCACAAAACTATTGACCCCATGCCCCTTGTCACACTATGTCACATTTCGGTGATCCCCCCCCCCCCATCAACGTGTGACGTAATTTATAGATGACCCCTCATTTGCTTAATAATATAATCAAAGTATAGGAAAAACCAGCAATGAACCAATTTAATGTTTTAATTGTTCAGTTCTTAGACACCTACACTGAATTCGATCGCTATTACTATGAAACTCCTTCACTTGTCTCCTTAATCCTATCGGCGTAGAGCTGCGAGTGCTTGACGGCGCAGTACAGCGTGAACAGCTGGTGCACCGCCTGTATCCGGCCGGGCGCGCCTTGTCCCACCACCGGCACGTCGAACATCCCGCAAACCAGCTCGCAGTACTGGGACAAGCTGCAGTCCAACGAGGCCGAGGGGAAGCCGACCTCGTTCAGCGCCTCCTCCATCGACTCCGGCCACTCCTCCATCAGAGCGTCTATGTCCGGCATCTTACTGGAAATCATAAAAAAACACCCGCGTCACTACGTCACCTTTTTTTTATTGCCCTTGTAGGCAGACGAGCACACGGCCCACAGGATGGTGAGTGGTTACCGGCGCTCATGGTCTTCAGCAATGCCAGGGGCAGAGCCAAGCCGCTGCCTACCGCTTAATACTCTCCACAAACCTCGTTTGAAAGAAGGACATGTCATAGCGCTCGGAAAACACCGTGGACGTGAGCTCATTCCATAGCCGGATGGTACATGGCAAAAAAGACTATGGAAACGCACTGTCGATGACCGCAGTGGCTTCAGGTAGTATAGATGAACACTACTCCGGTGGCCGGCGGTGCGATGGTAAAAACGAGATGATGGTATCATCTCGAACAATTCCTCA